CACCAGTTGTTGAGTTTAGGGGCTGATCTGCACCTTTTACCGCCGCAAAATTTATGTTTCATTTGGTTCAACGAAAATATTCAAAAAGCAAGGAAATATTTAGTTTGAATGAAACGGGGAGCAGGAAAGGAAAATATGAATTTTTTAATTAATTAAATTATAATATTGTTAATAAAAAATTTTTTAAATTTTTTTTGAAATTCTTTTAATTTGTGTTTTAAAGTACCTTTTCAAGATTAATTGCTATTAAAAAAGTAAAGAAATTTTTTAATTTGTATATTTAAAACACAGATTAATTAAGTTTCATTAAATATAATATTTTTAATTAATTTTGCATAAATTTTTATGTTAAATTCAATTAAAATAAAATATAAAATGTAAAATTGAAATAAATATAATATTTATATTTAAAATCTATTAAAAAAATATAAATATAATATGAAAACTTGTACAAAATTAATTTAGATTCTATAATTAATAAAATTTAACCTGTGCTCTTAAGGTGTGTGATAGACAAATTCAAAAATAAAATTTAACTTTTACTTAATCAACTCTCTAATTAATATAATTCATGTGTTATTAATGATGAAATTAATGTTAGTTTTTATTATTTTCAATACTAATTAATATTAAAAATATATATTAATTACATCATTAATTTATATTGTCAAAAAGTCCTTTATCTTAAACTAAACATACTTTAAGAAATATTAAAAATACAAACAAATTAAAATAAAAATTAAATTATCAAATTTTATGCTTCCCTATTTTATAAACAAAATGAGAATATGATAGATAAGGAAATAAAACAAATAAAGAAAAAAATTAAAAGAATTCTATTAATTTTAAGTGAAATATGGTTAACATTATTATAGCAACGGAACAGTTTTAGGACCTACTTGAATCTATCACACTTCCCTATTTCAAACTTTTACTTCCCTCGTATATAATTTTACTTCGGCAAGCTGGAGTATTAGAGAAATTAATTTATTCTGTTAATGATAGCCAAGAAAGGAGAATATTAGAGAAATTGCATATATCTTCCCACTATCTTTGTTCTCTATCGAAATATAACTAGGGATCATTGAAGTAGAAAATGCCAATCTAAAAGGAGCATAAAGAAAATGGCAAACAAAACAACGAAGACAAGGCAATTAATGATATAGAACCTAGATTTGTCGTTTCCAATGCAGCTTCCTCCTTGCTTTCATGTAACTATTTCATACACTCAATTCCATATTTTGTAATTTCCAACTCCAAAACAAGAACCTCAAAATTAGGTTTAAACTCTCTGCTAATTCAATTGGTCATTAGGGTTTCCTTAATTTATCTCAATCAGCGTAATGATTCTATATTGTCAAAGATCCACATGCCAAAACACATGAATCCACAAACAGTTTTTAAATGTCCTTAGAATGGATAAACATGTTTGAGCTGTAACTTTTAAGTTTTGTGCTTGTCTCCCCATGATGTGAACCGAACTCAAATCATCATAACTGCTAAAACGCTTTCCTTCTTTATTAACCTATTACAAAACATGTGACTCTAATTAGAACAAATGAGAACAAATGAACATGGTTACTGAATTTCCTTTCTGGAGGTGGATGGGAGGCTTCAGACCCAAGGAAAGATTCACATGGATAATGTGTATATACCGACATACTAATTGACAACGATATAATCATATCCATCTTTCATCAGTTGATGAAATTTCATTGAGAAGATTAATAGTGTCAACTTCAAACAGTAGTTGTCAATATAATTGACTTCTTTTGATCTGTATATGATAACAAACTACATAAACCAATCTTGCTTAAGAATTTTTTCTGTCCAAGTAGGAACAAAATAAATCCAAACACAATCTTATCTTATGGTTCAATCTAACCATTTAAAGTCATAGTAGATAATAAATGTATTTAGATGTTTTTTTATAACAACTTTTGTGCACAATATTTTCATCTAATCTTATATAATTTAATAATTTTTTTATTTTATTAGCACTCATAATATTATAAATATTTATTTATTTAATGATAAAATTATATAAATAAATTATTTATATATATTTTTTGAACAAGGATAATTTGAAAATGGAGAAACATCGTTTATGAGACTTAAGTATGCAATTCACAAAAAGTGATCCTCACTTGATCAAACGTCTCAATCATTATGCTGAGGGAGGGATCAAATTATTTGTATATTACTATTCTCATTCTAATGTATGAAATGATATTCATCCACTAAATTGCGTTATATTATATAAAAAGGAAGGAAGAATAAGAAAGAATGAAAGAAAGCTGCACTGTCAAGCCTTATTTGGGGCCATTGGAGTTTGGACAATGCTCAGTACGGGTTGATCAGCTTTGCTGGCCGAAAAGGAAACGTTTACATTTTCTCTTTAGTGGGAGCGGTTGTTGCGACTAAAGGCATGTGTTAATGTCACGACATTTTTAAGTTTTTTTGTTGCATGGACTATTTTACCCCTATCATTCAGGTATCTAAAACTTGCAATGAATTTTAACTCAATCATTTAATATTTGTGTTTTTGAAAGTCAACTCATAATTTTATTTAAAGATAACAAATCTTCCAAAGTTTTTTTGTTGCATGGACTATTTAACCCCTATCATTAAAGTATCTAAAACTCACAACAAATTGTAACTTAATCATTTAATATTTGTTTTTTTACAGTCAACTTATAAGTTTATTTAAAGATAATAAATCTCTCAAGTTTATTGTTGCATGGACTATTTTACCCCTATTATTTAGGTATTTAAAACTCACAATAAATTTTAACTCAATCATTTAATATTTATTTTTTCAAAAAGTCAACTCATAATTTTATTTAAAGATAACAAATCTCCCAAGTTTTATTGTTGCATGGACTATTTTACCCCTATTATTCAGGTATTTAAAACTCACAATAAATTTTAACTCAATCATTTAATATTTATTTTTTTTAAAATCAACTCATAATTTTATTTAAAGATAACAAATCTCCCACCATACAGATTAATAGGTGTTTGGTATCAACAAAATTTGTTTGCTTCTTCCAACAATAGAGTTTCTCTTCCCTCCTTCCTTGTTCTCCTATTAAAATTCAGCTTAATCAGCTAATTACTCTTTAAAGTGCTCGAGAGTCGACATTCAAGTAACAAATTTGACTGCGGATTATCAGCCACGGGAGTGAATATCTCCAGAAAAGCTTAAACCCAGATTTGATAATGAAAAAATAATAATAATAAGATTAATTAATTTGACAAAACCCAGGAAGACCCAATTCTTTTTTTTTAATTCTTTTTTTTTTCTGTTGGTCCAAAAGAAAATCCAATTCACAAAATGTCTAGAGCACTGAAAAACCCAGAATAAAAAAAACAAGTCTACGAAACTTTTGAATCTTGAAAATTTTCGTGAAGGCACCATAGAGATCATTGAGCAACGTGGTTGGTAAGGAAGTGCATTAGAGAAGAAGTGTTCGTCGTTGGGACATTATATCAAACATTTTGTGTGCGCTCGATGGGGTGAACCTTTTCCGCACGATTTTAACTGCAAATTGGAGGATTTGGATCGAAAGACGGTTACTGGAATTGGAGGATGGTTTGCTCAAAAAAAAAAAAAAAAATCCGATTGTCATTTTCTCAGTTGGGTGACATTGTAAATTTGATGTGCCCTTTTTAGTAGTGCAAGGTGGGAAGGGGAGCCCCCTGAAGGCCAGGTGGTGTACCGATATCTTGCATTCTAGAAAAACAGGGTGCCAGTGAGCCAAGCCAGCTCATCTACATTTCTTAGAAGTTACACACTAAAATACAAACTTTTAAAACACCCCTCATTCTAATCCTTCTCATTCCTCCTCTTCCTCTTCTCTCCATTCCTCTCCAAAGTTTTCTCTCTTTTTTCTTTAACCAGTTCCTCTCCTAAGGTTTTAAAAAACAAAACTTTGCTCAAAAGAACATGGGTGGTTTTGGGGGGCATGTGGCCTCAGGCATTGCTTTCCTTGTACTTGGTTTATGGCATCTCTTTAATCACATCAAGCTCCATTTAGTCCACCCAAATTCCTACACATCTTCTCCATGGTTTCCCATCTCCAAAATCAGGTACATTGAGCTCTTCCTCATCATCATATTCTCCTCAATTTTCATCTCCACGGAGCTCTTTATTGGCCATGAAAGGTACCAACCTTTTGACCCTGATGGAAGCATCTCATCAAGCCGCCTCCACAACTTTGAGCACACTGTCATAACAATCACCTTCGTTGTCTATGCAGCCTTTGCAATCCTCCTAGACAAAACAGCCGCAAAAGCCCAATATGGCTTGACACAATTCCTAGGAGCTCTAGCATTTGCACAACAGCTTCTCCTCTTCCATCTCCACTCGTCTGATCACATGGGTGTTGAGGGTCAATACCACCTTCTCCTCCAAACTATAATTGTTGTATCTTTGGCCACAACTCTAATGGGAATTGGTATGCCTAAGAGCTTCATGCTCAGCTTTGTGAGGTCCCTAAGCATTTTCTCACAAGGGGCCTGGTTCATACTCTTGGGCTACATGCTCTGGACCCCAGAGTTGATTCCTAAAGGTTGCTTCCTCCGTCAGGAAGACGGTCGCAGAGTCGTTAGGTGCTCGAACCACAAAGCACTACTCCGAGCCAAATCATTGGCTAACCTTCAATTCAGCTGGTTCCTAGTGTCTATAGCCATTTTTGCGGTCATTTTCTATCTCGTTTTGTCTAAAATCTACGGCAACAAGGTTGAGTACTTTACATTGCATGAAGAAGAGCTGGAGGATGAGAGTCATGATGTTGAATTATCACTGAAGAAAAGCAAGCTAGGGGACTCAAAGATATTTGTTCATATGGGAAGTTGCAATTAGGTACCTGTACAAATTCAGTAGTCCAGTCCCACTGTTGTGCAAATTAAGCTATATCAATAACGTTGGCTTAAAAAATGTGTGTTGGACTTGTTGCTTCAGAGAAATTGGAGTGGAATATTAGGTTGGCCTTTGGGATTATTGTACAAAAGGCAAAAACAATCTTCATTTTGGTTTGCTTCTCTTAATATACTGTCCTTGTTGCATATTATTAATTAAAATGACCAACTGATCACAATAATCAATCTTATAGCTTGCTTATCAAAATAATAATAATAATAAATCAAGCTTATAGTTTAACAAATCGCTCTTTTGATCAAAAGAGGATGGTTCGAGTTCAAATTCTTGGTACTCCAAAATCTAGTTGCCTGCTCAGTATGAATTCAGTATAAAACATGTTGAATGCACGATCATATCTAATTTAGAACATCCGATTTTAGCAAAAAAAAAAAAAACATGCATGATTGATGATCCTTTTGATCTCCATTTTCAACTAAGAATGCAAGTTGATTTTCTTGGTAAAAAATAAGCAAATAATGAGACAGATATCACCGAAGGAATGGAGAGTTGTACTTTTCATATACGTTAAATGAATGGCACTGCCACTCTCCTTCCTGGAAGATTCAAGTCTTTGAAGCGAAGTAGGTTTTTTCGTTTTTTGGCCGTCAAGCAAGGTAAGATCCACAAAAATCTGTACGTCGGTAGTAGCTGGGATTATTCGAATGATAAAGAGTGATGTAGATAAATCATAGTAGATATGAATCAAGTCGTTTTCCTTTTGACCATCAAGCAAAGTAAGGTTCACAAGGGAAAAAAATGTACATTAAATTTTATGTAATTATCAGAAATTAATAACGGCTTGGATTGAGAGTTTAACTCCAATCAATTATTTAAAAAAAAAAATCTTTCATTCTCTAAAATTTTTCATGTTCCTAAAAAAAAAAATTACTTGGATTGAAGGCCTATAAAGAAAAAAATAAAAAAATAAAAACTTTTTAGATTACAATAATATTAGATATTATAAATAATTTAATAATAATTTCTTTTTTAACGTGAGTAAAAAAAAAAGAAATAATAATTTTGAGCCAATAATAAGCAGGTATGATGGATTAATTAAGATACGAAAAAGAGTTAGCTACCATAACCTTAACGGGTCATACCAGCCAACCTCATGGGTTGCTCCTGAACAAACTAAGAGGGCCTTAACCCAATCGAGACTTTGGGCTTTTCTCAACATCAGCCCAATTTGAAACGACGCGTTTCTTCTTCTCCTCCGTTCTCTCTCTCCAGGCAATGCTTCCCTTCGGTTTTCTCTGTCTAGGGTTTTGAGAGAGAGAAAGAGGTCAGGAAAGTGAGTCAAAGCCATTGAAGGTGATGGTGCATAGCTGTAATTCAGCCAAAAGAGAGGGCTACTGCTAAATGGAAAACCCAGAACCAGAAGAACCAGAGAAGAAGAGGCTTCACTTGGATACTTCGGTCATGGCTCGGAACTCCATCTCTTCTCCGAACAACAACAAATCGGTAATCTCTCTCTACTCCGTTTGGCTACCGAGAAAATACAAGAATATTTTGAGGATGTTTGCAGTGATTTTGCTTTTCTTCTTCCAGGTTGATGCTGGAGTCCTCCAATACCAGAATCAAAAACTTGTCCAGCAGTTAGAAACTCAGAAGCAAGAGTTACACGATATTGAAACCAAGATTAAAGAATTAAAAGACAAGCAAAATTCTTACGATGATATGCTAATTAGCGTGAATCGACTTTGGAATCAGGTATGTTTGTTTGCACTCTTTTTTGTTTTAGTCAATCTTGGTACATCTTTATTTGCATTTTCTGATGGATTTTGTTGCTATTGTTCTGTTTAGTTGGTTGATGATGTGATTATGCTTGGAGTACGAGCTGGAGGAGGTGTAAATGCTTTAAAAAGCTTGGATCGAGCAGAGCATTCCCGAGGTCTGGGTTATGTTTTTCTTAGTTGGTAGTTTATATTGTTTTGTTTGGATTTGGAGTGTCCTTTACTGTTGTTATTCTGTACATCGTTGCTTAATTTCAAATACTTACTAAAGTTGTTTGTTTAGGTTCTATTCCACCATGTCCTCCGGAAGAGACATTTCTTTGCAGGCTGCTAGAATCAGATTTTGTTGAGAGTAGTGGTAATGGTGGGGTTATGAAATATGTGGAAGAAGCCCTTGCTTCACGCCGTTCATCAACTATTGAATTGATGAAATTTCTGGAGGATACTATTGCTGCCGAGAGGGAGAAAACTGAGAGCATAGCTCAAGCTCTGCATGGCAACATATCTGCAGAAGGTAAGAAGATATACTTCAGGTTGATTTTTCATTTCTATTGGTTATTGTTTACATGTGTTTTCACCAGTTATTTAGTTATTTTCCTCTTTGTAACTGTTGCTTGGTTTTTGCATTCAGACACCATTATTCAATTGTCTAAGATTGATGATATGATGAAAGAGGAGGCAAAAAATTTGCATGAGGTGATTGATGCTCTCCACTCAAAGCATAAAGAATATGCGGATGGGATTCAGACATATAGAAGGAATGATTTAGTTGATCAGTCTGAGATAAAACGTATCAAAGGTCTCTGGGATTTTCTCGTTGAATATCTATACTTTTTAGCACAAATAATTTGATATAGGTAAATAGAATTACTTAAATAGGTGATAGAATTACTTTAAAAGTTGCATACAAGTAATTCTCAGGAGAAAATTTGACACCAAAGATTCAGTAAGCAAGGTGGCTAGTCAGTATGAAATTAGCTATTCTTTTGGTTGGTGGTGTCTCAAGACTTTTTCTTTAATTTGTAAATATTTTTTTAATCATGAAAGGTGAGCTGGAGGAGGTCATGGCAGAACTCGAAGAAAGCAGAAGAAAACTCGTCAATCTGAAAATGCAAAAGGATATAGCATCTCGCATGCATGTAACCTCTCCTGTTGCAGTAAATGGAAGCTTGTCACCTGAGAAGCCTGAAGATAAGGGAATGGGTTTGCAGGAATTGAAGGATTCCATTGAGGAGGCAGAGGTACTAGTTATGTTATATAGTTTGCTCCAATCTCTCTCTCTCTCTCTCCACTCCTTCCTACTGCTCTCTCCTTGCCTGGCTCTTTCTGGCTAACCTAGTGGGATTTGTTACTAAACAAGTTTTCCAGGTTGTGGCAGCAGATCGTCTTTCTGAGCTTCAGGAAGCACGGGAACAGAACCTCATGTACTCAAAACAACTTGTTGATCTTGAGGTTTGTGAGTTTGAGTTATTAATTGATGAAAGATTTTCATGTTCTGTAAAATACTTGTTGAAGTGCTTTTGTTTATTTAATAATCTAACTACTGATGTTTTATTTGCTTAGAATGAAGTGAAAGATGAAAAATATGTGTATTCATCTCGACTGTATACTCTGTTGAATGATCAACTCCAACATTGGAATGCAGAAATGGAGCGATACAAAACACTGACAGATGCTCTGCAGGTTAAGCTGCGTATTTTACTTTTTCATATGTTATGACATTTGTGAATTTTGGTCTCTTTTGAAAGTATATTTTCAGGCTGACAGGTCTCTTGTCATGAGGAGGGAGAAGGAGCTGAATGTAAAAGCTGAGTTAGCAGATGCTGCCAGGAATACAATTCACAATTCAGACTCTAGAGTTGAAGAGCTAGAAACTCAGCTTCAAAAGTGTATCATGGAGAGAAATGACCTTGAGATTAAAATGGAAGAAGCTATCCAGGATGCAGGTGAAATAATATCTTTAAATATCATGTTATATGTCTCTAATTGAATATTAGATGTGACGTGATAGTCTGTAAAAATGGTACCTTTCTAGGGAGAAATGATATTAAAGCAGAATTCAGCGTAATGGCATCAGCTTTGTCTAAGGAAATGGGAATTATGGAAGCTCAATTGAGTCGCTGGAAAGAGACTGCACATGAAGCAATTTCCTTGCGTGAAGAAGCCCAGTCGCTAAAAGCTTTATTAAACACTAAGGTCTTGTGTCATCCTTAATTGCTTCCTCATGTTCATAGATTTTAAAGAAGTCTAAAGTAGAAGCAGTGATGTGGAGTAGAAGATTTCTTATGATTGCATTGCACATATTTTTTTCCCACATTTTTTTACTAAGTAGCTTAATGTAAAAGCTATTCATTATGTAAGGTGAGGATAATGGATTGGTTTTGGATTAAGTGGTGCAAACCAAAAATAGTGGGCCAGAACATTCATTTAACATATTTGAGGCAGAGAATCTCATGATTGCATCATATTGTTGCGTTTGCCATCCTCTTTACAGACTATGTTTTGATATGTTAATGTTTCTACACATTCATCAGGATTCAATTCATGACTCAATTAACTAAGTGAATGCACTTCCATGTTAATGCATGAGCTGGGCATATATTTTTGTCTGTCAAAAGAGTTGGGTTCTGTATTTCAGGAAAATCCAGTGGTTGAAAAATGATAATCAGCTAAAGTCTTGGTTTTTTGGGTGTTGTAGAACCTATGGGCTATTTTTTCTTCTTCTTGTAAATAGTTAACTTTATGTGACATTGTCTCTTTTCAATCCCTAGTGCATAAGTTCTCTGAATAACATAAATCCTTATTTTGTTAATGTAGTCAAATGAACAGAAGCATTTGGTAGACAAATGTGCTGAGCAGATGACACAAATAAAAACCATGAAGGGTTTGGTGAGTTCCTTTATTATACTATTATTTACAGTAGCCTCTATTATTACTTTTGTATTTGTATTTTATGTCATTTCATTTTCATAATTGTTGACAAAGAGGAGCTTTTGCTCTTTTTTTTTGGTAGTTTTCTGTTTCTGCCACTCATCCCTTTTCATTTCTCTTGAGCAGTCTGTTAATTTCAAATTGCAATGTTCAATTGTAATTCATCAAAGTGCCATCATCCTTCCTAATCGTATAAATGAGTTAATGATTGCAATTTACTTTCAGCATATAAATCTCTTGCCTTTAATTTTCAGGTATTTGACTATTCACTCACTAAATACATAAGGAAATAAAATCTTTTCTTATCTACCTAGATGGCTGCAAATGACAAGCATTATGTGGAAATAGAGTTACATATCAATGATTAGTCTTTTTAAATCTTGAGGTTACGTATTTTTAGCAAATCATATCATTTTGTTGATGTCCAACTATACAAAAAATAGTAGCACATTAAGTTCATTTGACTACAAAGGAGTTCATGTCAGTTGCTAAAGAAGATTTTGTTGCAGGTTGAGAAGTTGCAGAAGGAAAATTTGGAACTGCAGATCTTCTTGGACATGTATGGCCAAGAAAGTTATGATAATAGGTAAGTTTATTTAGGGGTATAATCTAGCATTACAAGTGCAGAAGTTGGGTTAGGGAGTTGGGGGGATAACAATTCAGTTATGTTGCATATCAATGAACTGATTTATTGTTAGTCTTTAGAGTGCCTAACATCTGTTGAACCTGCCTTGTGGCAACCATTTTGTTTAAAAGTATTCAGCTTTTAATTTCAGAGACATTGTGGAAATAAAAGAATCAGAACATAGAGCTCACTCTCAAGCTGAAGTGTTGAGAAATGCTTTAGATGAACATAGCCTAGAGTTGAGAGTGAAAGCTGCTAATGAGGCTGAGGCTGCTTGCCAACAAAGGCTTTCCATTGCTGAAGCTGAAATAGCTGACTTAAGAGCCAAATTGGACGCTTCTGAGAGGTCCATTCTATTTTCTGTGCTGTCTTTTTTTTCCTTCTTGTGTTCTTTGATTGTTTTAGTTTGAAGTTTTACAAAAGGAAAAAGTAGTGAATAAGCATTACTACTTATCCTAAATCTCTAATTAAGGACTCCCATCTGTTTTTCTCCTAATTGAGGATTCCTGTTCTTTAGATTTCCTATTGTGGCTTTTATTGGTTGAAAGATGTCACGTGGTTCATTCATGGACCCCGTATGAAGCTGATGTGGACTCGGTTTACTATTAAAAAAGTATTAAAAACTTTATTAATGTCTACGTTCCCCTGATCCCCTCTCCCTCTGGTCTCCAACCACCATTGATATGCCAAAAATTAATGGAACATTTGCCTCACTTCCTTGTCACTCCTACTGAGATTTGTGCTTCAAAACTGGGTTCTCCATGCACATCCTTGAGTGTTGGAGAACCCAAATATCTGGTTTTAAAGTCAATTAACACATAATTCTCACTGCAATTCTGCCTCTCTTCTCTCAAGTTGCAATCCCTAGTTTCCACTGCAAAATTCTCTATTGACAAAACTGAGGAGACTTGAAGCCCTGTTCTCAATTCTCAAATCTAGCTTCAAAAGCTTATAATTTTTCAGTTTTTCAGTATTGGGTTGCCTTATGTTTTCTATTGGTATTCCTTTGAGAGAGGGGAAGGGGGAAAGCAAGCCATTCAAGATTTCAAGACTGCATACAGCATGATGATGAAAAATCAAAGAACAAATTGTTCTTTGACTAAATTTGAAAGATTAACTTGATCTATACAAATTGTTTTAAGAATACCATTAGATCACACATCAGAGGAATGAAGAGAGAGGAAAATGATGGGAGCAAGTTAGCAACTGGTGCCAGAGACGCTGGATAGAGAGGAGAAGAGAAACAGAGCTGTGACATGTCAGCAATTTTTAAAGTGAAGTATTCCCATGTCAGCTAATATTAGGAGCTGCTAACGGCAATTAAACGTTTTCCATCCAACAAATCCTGAAATAGGAAAGCTCTGGAATTGGAATCATCAATTAGGAAAAATATTAGATGAATTCCTCAATTAGGGCAAGATGGAGCTGGAATCCTCATTCACCAGTCTTGCTTTTATAAAACTAAATAAGATTTATGTATATTTTACAATCTCCAAATTGTTCAGCTCAATAACTTTTTGAAATAGTTTTTTTTTTTTTTCTCACTTTTTATGGATTATAAGCTTTTAAACCCACGATGACATCTTTTGTGTGGAAGGTAAATGTAAACTTATCTGTAGGTATAAATTTGAGTTAACAATTGTTGAACAAGTTTTGTTGTTAAATGATTTAGTTTGTCAAATAAGATTGGTATCTATCTGGTCTCACTTGGTAGGGAAATTTAGGGAAAGTTGGATGTACAGTGATGATATACTCAAACAAGCTGATTTTATTCTTTAATGTGAAAGCAGATATTTTTCGAAGATTTCTTGAGTTTGTTTGTGCTGTGATCGTGGCAATAACTACATGCTGTTTTGATTGGTTTATGTCAACATCACTAGAATTAGGATCAGTTAGATCATTCAGTGCTTTATGTTGCTCCTCTTGTATCGCACAAGACTAGCCGTGGTGCCTCCATAGTGGACAGTGATATATTATTACACTAACCTGGGAAATTGAAGTCATCTTTTTAAGTTAGTTCTATGTGTTCATTACTAAAGATCAAATCATATTCTACCTTTGGTAAATTCAACATCTATTTTTTTACCTTTACCTGATTTGTCCTTTTACCTTTCCTTAGATTACTCTTTGAACATATTTTCTTTACCAATATTGTATGATCATGTTACCTGCAGGGATGTTTTTGAGCTCACAGAGGCCATTAAAATTAAAGATAAAGAGGCAGAAACATACATTTCTGAAATTGAGGTGCCATACTTTTTTTTTTTTCTACATGTTCATTTTCTCCTCAAACCACTCCCATCCATTTCTTTTTCTAAATTACTGCTGCTATGTTTTTTCATAGTACTTGGTTCTCTTTCTTGCTTCCCTCAATTCTTGCTTTATCCTTTTTCCATATCACTGATGTCTTTCATCTCTCCAGACCATTGGTCAAGCATATGAAGATATGCAAACACAGAACCAGAATCTGTTGCAGCAGATGACTGAGAGGGATGATTACAACATTAAGGTCTGTCTTACATTATGTGCCTGAGTTATCTGATTGGTTGTTATCATCATACGTATCTTTCCATTCTTTTTTTTTTCTTTGGCCGGAATCTTTCTATTGAATTTACTGCTCAAAATAATCCAGATATGCAGTTTGATGCTGTGTCCGCTTCTTCCTAATTGTATCATGGGATTTATATTGCAGCTTGTTTCTGAGAGTGTAAAGACAAAACAGGCTCATAGCCTCCTACTCTCTGAGAAGCAAACATTATCAAAACAACTTCAACAAGTCAATGCATCAATAGAATCTGTGAAAGTGAGGATGGCTCACAGTGAAGAACAGGTAAACATATTTTTATGTTTCAGTTAAAAAATTGTTTTACATTTTTAGATGTTGATCATTTCTACTTCTTGCAGATGAAAGGTTGTCTTACTGAGGGTCTTAAAGCTTCTCAAGAAGACAGACATCTTGTGATTAATCTCGAAACTACAAGATGGGAATTGGCAGATGCTGAGAAGGAGCTGAAATGGCTTAAATCTGCTTTGACTTCTTCTGAGAGGGAGTATGAGCTGGTCCAACGCAAGGTGGATGAGTTCCAAGGGAAGTTGGATAAAGAACGGTGGGTTATTCCTTCTCCTGCCCCCTCAACTCCAATAGTCCAATTAATGATGGCCTCTTATGCTTCTAGTTTTATATCTAGTCAACTGTACTATACATTGTAATTCTGATTAAACTGACTTGTGGTAAACCAGGAATGAGAGGAAAGATCTGGAAGAAGAGCTTGAGGAAGTGAATAGGGAGATTGCAAGGTTGACTTCTGAAACTGGAGAAGCCGCAATACAGAAGCTCCAGGATGAAATAAAGAACTGCAAGAATATTCTCAAATGTGGTGTGTGTTTTGACCGGCCAAAAGAGGTTACTATCCAAGCCCGATTTGATTTCTTGCCTGATCCTATCTTATAATATGGTGCTGAATTTTGTATGGATGTGGCAATATATTTTGTTCGGCAGGTTGTGATTGTGAAATGCTATCATCTATTTTGCAATCCATGTATACAAAGAAATTTAGAGATTCGGCATCGGAAGTGCCCCGGCTGTGGGACTGCATTTGGTCAGAACGATGTTCGGTTTGTGAAGATATGAGCAATCTACCCATGTTTAGTACCCAAACTTCGATTTTGGGTCAGCAAATATTTAGGTCGCAGTGTGGCAGCTGGCCTTCTTTTAAAGTCGGCATATAATGCGTAACAAAAAATTTAATTTTTTTTTTCCTTTTTCTGGCATGCAATATTCAACAGAGCATGTGTGTTGTATCTATGTAAGGGGAAAGAAAAACGGTAAGAAAATGAAGTTGGATAACATTTGCAAATCACTCTTCTTAACATCAAAACTTGCTCATAAGAAATTGATAATTGAGGTAAGACAACACCTTTTCTTTTGAAATTGTATGCATGATAATACTCTGTTAGCATCGATCCAAAAGTTACAACTCCTTATAATATACATTTGACCAACTGGTAGCAAGTTGAGCTCCAGTGGTGGGATGATTTGTTTTTTCTTTTTCTTAAATTTTATAATATTTACATGATATCAGACGAATAGATATATATATATTATTATGTGTTTGTATTGGAATTAAAAGTGCCAATAAAACTTTTATAAAAAATATGGTCAATAATATTTTTTTTATTTGACATCAAAGTAGTAATGTGACAAAAATGTAACCATCAGCCACCACAGTGATATACATTGTTCCTCCATTGGTTGCATCTCAAGAGGCGTAACTACCTGAACTGCGGAAAATGCATCTGCCAGGAATTAGGCAGGTGATAGAACCAATTATAGGTGGAGCAATCAACCCAAATGGAAGGCTCTTAGCTAATGACTTGTTGGACTGCCTATACAAGTTTATCACGTAAAAGGATAGAAATTTGAAAAGAGCAAGCTACCGAGAAGGATGTAGGCAGCGGAGTAAGCCCAAATCATGTATCCCCATTTTTTACTCGTATTGGGAGAAACCATCACATATGAAGCAAACCAATATAGAGAAGGACTGGCAGACAAGAAACGTGTCGCAACCTGTTCAGAACTAAGCATTAGAATTTGATGTGTGGTTGAGTAAGCGAACCTTCATAATACCAAATCAACCAGTGAAATGTGATAGATCAGTAAAAGCTAATATCGAAACAAAATGCAGAGATTCCGCTTGAATCAAAGTTCAAATTGCATAAGTTGTTGTTTTTGTATGAGACATGCAAATGGTACTTTTCTAAGGGAGATCTCTGCTTCCAAGAATCATGTGAAACTTAATCTAGATTAAACAGAACCTTTAATTTTGGCAGACTAGGGGAAACAAAAATGAGTCTAACCTGCACATGCATAACAAAAAATGCTGTGGCAGCCATGATTCCCAGATGCACCATAAATGGGAGCACAAAGGCAGACAAGAATCCTGACTTCCCTGATAATTCATGGTCTGCTCTGTGCTCAGCAAGATCCTTCTCTTGGCCCACTCGCTTTCTCTTTCTCAGATTGTGATTTTCTGTTACATGGTTAATAATTGCTTCAGCATGTCTGCAGATAATATCTTACTAGAACCCAGGAATAAGCATGATCAGTATAAAATCTTCACCTTGTCTAATAGAAGAGGCTTTGTCTGACAAAGGACCTTCCATTCTTTGGACTGCCTCTGGAGGAAAAAACAGTGCTGAAGAACTTTTTTCATCAATGGTAGCTTGAAATCCCAATGATAAAACAACTTTAGGTCGTGACTTCACATAATAGACAATTGAGCAAACTGCCAAGGATAATATAGGGGATGCAAGTAGAAAATTCGGTAATTGTTTGACTTGGAAGTATCTCAAGAATCCTACTCCCCTGACATAGAAAAGACAATGAATTTAAAGCAGAATATCAAACATAGAGATCATATCCGCTACAACAAGGAGCTAGCAATATCTTTTTGACTTCTAAAGCTAAAAATTAAAATGTCAAATATGCTAAGTGACGATGCTTTTCCACTGTATAATCACATCTACAAGTTCCATCATTAGGTTTAAAAAATATATATATATTAGTGAATGGTATTGATGAAAATCAGAAATCAGAAAAGCATCATGCATTTGTAATAATGCTTGAGAACCCATAGCAAGAGCAGGAAATCATAAGAAAAAAATGCAGCAGATTATTTTCCCACGTATGTCCACATTATTAAACAGATACTTGCATGTGACAGCAAAACTTTAGCTAAATAAGGAAACTAATGGATAAAGAACCATAATAAACATTATTTGAGAAACATACCAGTAATGACTTTGAATGTAATTGTAAAGCAAAGGTATTCTTGCTTTGCACCAATGACTCAATTCATCTAGAGAACGTCCATGACAGATATTGTAATAGCCATAGGCTTGAAAAGCAATAAACGGTGCAAAAATGCATATGCACCGCAGTGCTCCAGCTATTAGAATCCACAATGCCAACTACCACATAAATACCATGTTACTAAGGAAACCATCTATTCCCATAAAGCATTTGGTTAAAGCATAAAAATAGAAACTAAAGATTCTTATCAGTAGCTGAGTGTCCACAAGACACCAATAGGCTTCAAGAGTTCAAAAAAACAAAAGAAAAGAAGAAACTTACAAATTTACGCTTTTTCAGGAAAATTGCATCATAAGCATGATGCATCGTCTGAAAACAGAAATACCCAGCATTTAGCACTCCATTAGATCTTGCACAACCAGAAAGAGCAAGCCAAATAACAGCCATAGAATTTGCACCAGAGATCAAATGATATAATCCACCAACCGAGAATAGAGCATACAAGCTTTCTGAATATCTGCCATAACAAGATCACAACAAAAAAATAGAATCCTTAGTTGACTTCACCACTTGAAACATGACTTAGAAAGAAAGAAGTGAGAAACATACATCCATGAGTAGAATATTGAAGCTGGATTGAAGCAAAACATAATTGAAGCCCGCAGCGCAACATCAGGGTCCTTCAAAATAATAACTGAAAGCCTGTTAGAAAGTCAACTGTGAGAACAACAGCTAAAAGTCACCCCACAATAAATAAGATACCAAAATGAGTTCCATAGCCATTTATGTCCACAACAGAACACTCTAAATAGCCTGATTATCAACTCGAACAGCATACATGGATTCACTGTTCAAACATTCATAGAAAAAAACAGTAGACAAAGACAGGGAACTTACTTGTAAAAGTACATTGCGGCCAAAACAAATGCTCCATTGCTAACAACATATCCAGACAACCCCAGGACAGCCCTAAGACCAATCACCGGAACCAGTGGCGCAAAAACTGCATTGAAAGAAATCAGTCGGTTATAATAAGAATTAGTAATGAACCCAGAAATCCAATTCTTAAGGTGTGCATTGACTTGCCAAACCTGTGCGGGAAAAGATGAAAATGCAAGCAGGCAGCAATGGGAGGAACGCGTAAGACTGCTCATACTCGTATCCACACTGCGCGATCCTAACGAAGTACACACTATCCCACACGATTCCCTTCTCGACAGCGGAGCCTAGGGAAGGGAAAAGAGGAGAAGGGCGCGGGTGGGGGTAAGGGTCAGCGAGGCAGGAGGGGTTGAGGGGTGCCGAGGTGTCATAGGGGCTGAGGAGGAAGCGCCAGAGGATGGTTAGCGATAAAAGCAGAAATCTTGAGAAGATTGCGGATTTGAGGACGAGAATTCGGCGGCGATCATGGCGTTTTGGTAAGGGTTTGGCGGTGGTTTCCGTCGTCATTCTGGAGTTCAGCGAGGAAGAAAAAATAGTGAAGACCATATTTTGATATTTCAGGGGGTTTTTTTTTACGGCATCAGCCCTTAATGTTTTTGTATGGAATTAATTAAGCCCTCAATCTTTTGGTAAATTAAAGGAAACAAGACATTTACTTTTCCTACTTCCTAGAAAGGTCTCCTAACTTTTTTTCGTAATCAAAAGTTCCCCAAACGCTTTGAAGGGAATGATTATTTCTGGATGATGGTATGATCACGGTTAAACTACATCTTGAAAATTGGATCAAACATACTCTGTTACAACTTAAAGGATGTGATTATAGCCGTCAATTCATTTGATAAAGTTATTAAAATTGTATATTATTTTATTGATAATTATAGTTTTTTTAAATAGAT